GGAGGAGGAAGAGGAGGAGGAAGAGGAGGAGGAAGAGGAGGAGGAAGAGGAGGAGGAAGAGGAGGAGGAAGAGGAGGAGGAAGAGGAGGAGGAAGCGACGAATACATTCGATGGCGTTAGTGAATCTCAAACTCATGAACATATCGCGCAAGCTACCAACCATGAAATTGATGCTTTCACAAGGGAGCTATTGGCATATGCGGCAATTCCCACACCATCTCCGCCCCCCTACCTCATCGAGAAGCTGGGAACGGGGAAGACAGCCACTGGTGATGAGACCGCAAAATTCGATTCAGAAGACAGGATATTAGATGAACAATTTATCGGAACGGAGCAAGAGTCCCCACCTAACCAGCGTTCGACAGTATCTCGCCCAGAGATTACATCGTCTTCGTCAATTGTTATCGACTTAACGTCCGAAGAGACTAACCAGCATCATACGTCAGAAAAGGTCACTGTGGTTAAAGATGTCCTAACGCTCAAGGCCAAGGAACTTCAGCAGAGACGCAAAATCACCAAAATAAAGGCAACGTTGACGTCGGCTCTTAGAAAAGTCGGCATGCAGGTGGGCAATTCCCAAAGAGTTGGTTCTGATTCTACAACTGCGCAAGTCGATGCCTCCATACTCAACAAGCGAGCCAAAGAGAGAAACAACGAGTGTGCCGAAGATGAGATCCAAATCATTGCCGAAAGGAGACACCATCACCGACGACATATCCGAAGAACCACTAGAGCCGAAAGCAGAACGGTAATCACGATTCGCAGTCGGAGCGTGAGTGAGGGTGTCACTTTCAATCGGCGATGATGAGACGTCCGGATCTCAGAAGTGCGGCTAGAAGGTGTTTATGACATCGGTTGATGGAGGAATGCCGCAAGTGAAGCTATTCCTTGCTGAGATTTTAAAGAAACAGAGTGGTACGGAATCGAGTTGGTGTGTTCGCAGTCGGAAAGAGCTATTGAACAGGACTTGACTGGACATCATTCCATACGTTGAATCTAACCAACATGAGCTTCGGTTTGAAGAGAAGCAAATGAAGCTGCTGGTACGAGCAATTGCTGTGTCAGAGCTCTAGATGTGGTATTCTGAAGCGAGAGCCGGCTGAAACGAAAGCACGAATGCAGAGTTAGCTAACTACTTGTCTCGTCGAGTGGCAGAAAAGCGTGTCAGACAACAGTTACGGATGTGCTCCCCTTTACCAGCATCAGAGCCAAATCATTCATCCTCTGACCCCTGGGAGCCTTTCTCTTGCTCTTTCCTCCTTGCCCTGCTCAATCTGGCTGGAGAGCGGTATAAATCTCAAGCGGCCACGTCTTCCTGACTTTGCTGTGCAGATTCTGATACGCGACCGGGGTTCGCAGATGTGGGATACACCGTTCTGGAACGAGAGCAGTCGATTTCCTGCGGCCAACTTACGTTCCATCCTTACAGTAAGAGGCATCTGGGGCAGACACTTCAGGACCAACTCTTTGTTCGTTAACGCTGTGAGGCTGAAGAGGTCCCTGGAAATCGAGGGCAGATGCCAAATTGATTTCTTGATGAGAGTGGATCACAAACGAGGGCATTCGTCGTGAGGTTAGAGCCATGACACAGCAATTCAAAATCTCTTGAGGCCGCCAGAATGTGTGCAATGAACCATCTCTTCTCAGGAGGTAGTCGAACAGGATATGTCTTCAACTCGCTGAAGAGGCGGTGGCGGTTGGCATGGAGTCATAAAAGGATGGGACTGGAAGGATAGAGAGGGCATCTCAGATTTTCTCAAATTTCTAGTGTTCGTGAGGTTTGCCTGTGCATCGGTGAGCACTCTTGCCTGCTAACGTGAGCGAAAGTTGAGATAGAGAATACGCCACTTGGGCAGCCTGCTCAGGATGAGGATCAATGACTTGTTTAGGCAAAGCATGTATGTACCCGACGCGTAAGCCGTAGTCAATGGGTCATTGTTGTTGGCATCGAATGAATTTGCAGAGTTGGAATGTTCGCTTGATGAGAATGTTCAGCTCTTGCCTGCGCCTGCGCCCTTTCAGCTCTTCGCTTGAGCCTTGAGCCTTGAGCGCGGTCGATCCCATGCCGAGGCCTGAGGCTTCTAACCCATCTGGGCTTGGCTCCTTTTGCAACAGGAACTTAGCAAAGACGATGCTTGCAGGTTGAGAGTGCAGGCACTGCAGTCGACCAAGCCAACCTCAAATCTCCCCATACACGGATTTATTTCTCTCATTGTTCACAGTCGAGCACGTATCGACCTCAAATCTCCTTCCCGCCAGCTGCTGGGAGGCCTTTTGCCGTCCTCAATCGCCCCAAATCCCAAACTGCGCCCTCTGGGAACCCGGCCCCCTTCCGACCGCTTGCCCACTGACGCGTTAGAAAACTTGCAAAGTCCACATCGCGGCCGACATATCTCTGCGCTTCATGGTTCACACTCTCCCATAATCCCCATGATCCATTGAGGAGGGCGTATGCGAAGATGATCGCGCGGTTGGCGTTTTAATCAAGGAGATGTCGCGCCCACAGGGCACTCACTCTCACTCCAAGTTCGCTGACTTCTTCCCGACCGCTCCCAGCGTTCAGCAACGAAAGGCTTCCAAGTTGCTTGACCTTGACCGATCCCGTCTGCGCCGTCCTGACGATCGCGCGGAAGATGCCAACACGAAAGAGAATTCTGCTCGCCTCTCGCTGAACTCATCTACCACGTCCCACCCACATTTACCTGCCAAACAGGACAACCTGGCAAAGACTCCCGCCGTCACCGTGATCCCCGAAGAGAGTGACCAGTACGCAGGGGACCTTCTCAATGGTGTCGGCTCAGCAAGTTCGTCTAGCACCGCTTCATCGGTCTTTAGTGCTCCCGTCGCAAACGCCGCCATGTCTGGCGCCAGTCATATTAATTTCACCACTCTTACCCCTCTCACAAACTCCGACTCTCCTCCAAATGGTAAACCCATGAGCCCAACCATTGAATCTCACACCGTGATGGGCAGCAGCAATAATATGTCCATCCTCCATCAAGGTTCGATGACACCCCTCCACACACCACCGACCCATCGAAGATCCGCGCGCGATGCCAATGCCGAAGTCAAAGGGACCAAGTGCACCTATGATCCGGAACTCGACAAGACCTTAAACTCCAAGGACAAACGCAAGCTGAAAGCGCAGTTCGAAGATTTCGGAGCAAAGCCCCAAGACAACTTCCAACCTCCCGATCCGCGACTGGCCGTTCCAAACTATACAAAGGGCGTGGTGGGAAAGGGAAAAGCAAAATTTCGCCCTGCGCCTTACAATCTAAAGTCGTGGGTGCCTGATGTTGCGACCGCGGTTGCGCCGCCGCCGCCGACCACCGTTGTCGTGACCGGCTTCGACCCCATGACACCGTTGGCACAAATCAGCGCATTATTTTCCAGCTTTGGCGAGATCGAGGACTTGGACAATAAAACCGATCCGCTCACTGGACGCTTTCTCGGCATCTGCAGCATCGCATACCAAGACTGCGCCTCCTTTCAAGGCGGGGGACCCATCTCCGCCGTCCTCGCGGCCAAGACAGCATATCTTGAGGGCAAGCGTGGACAAAGGATAGGCTTGAAGACTGTTCACGTGGCCATTGACCGAGACGGGTCGGTCACGGAAAAGTTGGTGGAAAAGGCAATTGCGCTGCATCGGAAAGAGAGTGGATTCACAAATCCCTCCCGTATGCAGCCCTCTCCGTCTCCATCAACACCCACCGCGGTCCAGTCGCCCGGATTCGCAAAGTCTACAGGCCCGCCGCCGACAGCTCCAAAGGGGCCTTCGGGAAAGCCACCTTTACGACCTCAGTCTACCTTCCAAGCCCCATTCGGACTTCCCGTAAAACCCGAGAGACCAACCAAGCCCGTGACTGCCTCCGCTTCGCTTGTCGAGACCACACCGATTGCTGAAACATTGAAAGTGCCTTACATCTTCATCGCGCATTGTTACGTACCAGTTATGAGCACTACGATACCGCACCTGAAGAAAAGGTTAAGGATGTTTGATTGGCGAGAAGTCCGCTGTGACCAGACGGGATACTTTATCACCTTTGAGCAGTCGCGGAGCGGACAGATGGAGGCTAAGAAGCTATTTCATGGCTGTCACATGCAGCCGCTGTTTACCTATGTGATGAATTTGGAATTGCATCTCAATGGAAATCACAAAGCTGTCAGTGCTGCGGACACCGTACCAACATCGATGGGGCCCGTCGATTTCGTATATTCCAAACAAGCTTACAGGCTGAGGAAAGAGCACGACCTCGACCTAGAAGAAGAAAAGCGACAGCGCGCAAGAGATTTAGACCCCTCCAGGGCTGTTGTACAGCTTGTCATTCAAGAGCTTAGGGATAAGCTGCTGGAAGATGTCAAATCACGTATCGCTGCTCCAGTTCTCTACGATTATCTTGATCCGACCAGACATGCGGAAAGGAGAAGGATTCTTGGTGTAAGCGATCCTGAGGGAACACGGAGGCACGGTCACGCCGATGAAGGCTCTCAGACGCCCGACTCACGCCTGGGTACCAGTCGACTCCCGCTTGGGAGTAAAAACCTCAACATTCTTTCCCTGCCAAAGATTGGCAAGAGGCCGGGCACAGACAAGGGCACGGTTGGTTTCCGCGATGAGAGAAGGAAAGCTCCAACAACGAGACACAATGTCAGGCCATTGTTCCACCAGCTGGCACAATTTCACGCCGACGATGATTCCGACGATGAACGACGAACATCGGTCACTCGTGACACTGAAGATCCCGAGAGCCGTCCACCTAGTCGGATGAGTATGACCTCCCTATCCGACGACGACGACGAACTTCTGCGCAAAGTAACGAAACGCCGGCTCCATGCTCGGGAGGAGTCTGAGATGGGAGATAGTATCGTCAAGGACGAATTCGACACCAGCAAGCAAACTGCTGAAGATTTAATTATTGCCAAGCTCGAAAGAAATATTTATGAGATGTCCCCATCGTCGAGAAAACGAAAGAGGTTGGTGAAAGAGTTGGAAGCTCGAAAACGTCAAAAGGCAGATGACGAGTTATTCGGCATCGATCAAAACGACCTGGATCGCGAGGGATCCGAGGATATCAAAGTGGAAACTCCCATCGAGGCGACGCCTGATGTCGATTCGGACGGTGTCAAGGCCAAGAAGCCAAAGCCTAAGAAGAAAACTAAGAAACAGATCCTGGAAGAGCGGGAAGCGCTCCGACGGGCGCAGGCAGAGGCCGAAGCAGCTGCAGTGGTGGATAATGTTCTGGAGTATGCAGAGGAAGAAGAAGCTCTTGCAGAAGCAGCCGAATGGAGACCAGAAGTGGAATGGGGCGTCTCGGCCGTGGAGCCTTTGCCTACCGTTGACGACGACGAGGATATCATTCCTGATCTCCGAGGATGGCAAGCCAGTCTCTTTGATAAGGAAGATCTTGAATACTTGTCATCGGCAATGAAATTGAAGAAGGCCATGGATATTGGTGATCCGATGGCATGGGCCTGGAAACAGGAGCGCATTCGAAATCTCAAACCTGGAAGCCAGCCAGGCGCGCTTAGGACGGAGCCTCCCATTGACGGGTATTTTGTGCCCAACCCATCAGGCTCGGCAAGAACGGAGCCTGTTCGAAGAATCCTCGAGTCCGAGAAGTCGAAGTATTTGCCTCATCGCATCAAGGTGCAGAAGGCAAGGGAGAAGAGAGAAGCCGAAGCTAAGAAGGACCCTGGCAAACAAGTTGTGGAACTGCCCAAAGCTTCTTCCCGCGGCAAGCGTGCTGACGATCGACGCACTGTCAAAGATTTGGACAGACAGCGGGAGATGCTACAGGGGTTGGGCGAGGACGCCGACGTTCTGCGATTCAATCAGCTTCAGAAGCGCAAGAAACCTGTCAAATTCGCCAGATCCGCCATCCACAACTGGGGTCTGTACTCGCTGGAGCGGATACAAGCGAGCGAGATGATCATCGAGTATGTGGGCGAGAAGATCCGGCAAGAAATCGCCGATTTGAGAGAGATCAAGTACACGGAGAGCGGCATTGGCAGCAGCTACCTCTTCCGAATCGACGAAGGGACTGTCGTGGATGCCACCAAGAAGGGCGGTATCGCAAGATTCATCAACCACAGCTGCTCTCCCAATTGTACTGCCAAGATCATCCGGGTGGGCGGCACAAAACGGATCGTTATCTACGCTCTAAGAGATATTGAGAAAGGTGAATATCGTCCATGTCTGACCTGGGCGTGCGGACGCTGACATTTTGGATCTAGATGAAGAACTGACATACGACTATAAATTCGAGCGGGAGATTGGCAGTGACGATCGTATCCCTTGCCTCTGTGGCTCGGCGGTCTGCAAAGGTTTCCTTAACTAATACTCCGGCATCTCCAACGGCAACGGGTCTTCCAATGCGTGGCGGAATCTGGTGGGCACATCATTCTTTCGCGATGTTGTAAGTGCATTTGAAAATATGGAAGAGCATTTGGGTCCGGCGTTCTCTTCCATTCGGCATGACGAAGGGACGGATATTTTGACAAAAGTCATGGCACAGCATGGATCAATGGAAAGGCTTGGCCGGGGTTCATCTCTCCACCGAGAGAATCGGCAAGGGTGGTGCGCAATTGTGGGAGTGGTTGTGAGGAGTTCGCCAGGATCGTGGTAATCCTATTTCAACAAAGCAAAGGAATGATGAGTCGAAGGGACGTGGCCGACAACGAATGAACTCCTTTAACTCAATTGAGGCGGTGGAGCATTACAGAAGGGACGATGCTGAAAATGAATGAGTTTGAGAAAGATTCCCTTCGTGCTTTCTGTGTACTTGTATCATCCAACCTTGTACTCGACGAGAGCAGCAAACTCATGCGGCGTACAGCATAAAGGGTCTGGTCACCCTTCGGACGCGGCGGAGAAAGACGTCCAAGTACATAGAGTGGTGGCCCAAATGGGCTTTGCCTCCATGGCTGGCGTTTCCACAGAATCGGCTGCAATTCGTACTCGTTCAAAGACTTCTTCCCACGTGCAGAGAGACAGTCGGGCGCTTCCGACTGATCTCTACTCCCTCATGCCTAGACGATAAGCTTTGCATTGCACCTTGACAGGGCTTCTTCGGTGAGCGTTCCAGACTTCTTGCTGATCCCAGGTCGTTTCTTCTTTCGCACAAGTCCCTATCAATGGCCTGACAGCTAAAATTCAACTCTGACCCAGAGCCCTGAATGCCACAATGGGGAGTTTCTGGTCGTCTGATGGCTGGTCTCGTTCGTTCCGTGGCAATCTATGATCATGGTGCGCTCTCTGAGTGTGTCTCTCTCAGGGTGAGCACGCAGGGAGTGTATCGGTCCAACCTCCCATCTCTATTGCCCAATCACTCAAGCAGATGCATCGAGGAAGCCGACGGTGACAGCTTCCGGATGAAGTTATCGCAGGCGCCGCGGTTTCTGTCTTTGTTCAAACCCAGTTCGTCTCGAGGGTATCCTCACACTAAATGCGCTGGCAGGAGGAAATTGCCCACGCCTTCCTTTATGGGATATTCAAACCCGCAGTTTCCACAGACCAGCTTCCCTTCTGACACGCCGGTTTCGAGGAGGAGAGTGTGTAGCTTCTTCAGGACTTCCTCATCAATCCCGTCCTCCTTTTGAACACCACCTTGTTCGCTCTCTTGCTTGTCTCCTTCGACATCCATAGGGTGGTCATCTTCCTTTGTGTCCGTGGCTCCGTCGTCAAGGTCCGAAGGGTTCTTTTCAGGGACCATCGCCTGCAATCCCAACTCGGTCGCTGTAACGGTCAATGCTTCCCAGTTCACGCGCGGCAGAATGTTCCTCATGAATTGCGGGTTAAACTCGATCTCGGTGCGCTCTAGCACGGCGTCCTTGAAGTGCAGCGGGAACGAGGCAGAGGAGCTTTTGCAGGCCTTGACGGCGCAGGTCAGGAAGTTCGTGGTGAGGAGCTTCATTTTGCTACCAAGCTCGACAACCTAGATGAGGCGAGATGTAAAGGGAAAAAAAAAATGCGACCGCTTGGAAGCAGAAAAGTCTCTCTTGCGCCAAGCCCAAGGCTCGTTGAGACAAAAGATATCCAAAACTCGGTATCGGCTGGTGAGATGAACTTTCGAGGCAGTCTTTCAGCACTTTAATAGAATCTAAAGAAGTTTCTGAAGTTATTTCTACACAATCCTCAACTTCTTCATACACTCTGTAGTACGCGCTCGGGGTTGTTCAAGTCCTCCATGAATCTGAGAATTTCTCTCGAAGGACCTGGGATGGATGCCTTCACTTAGTGCAACCAAGTCCTCAGTACAGTCCGTTCCCCCTGTACCATGAAATTTTTACGTGATCTGCATTGGAGGGAAAAAGAAATGTCTGGCACGCAGGTGACTTCGCATCCACCACGGGAATCCGAAAACTCCCATCTCGAACGAAAAGCCTTAAAGTGCCTCTGAGAAAAATTCGGTCTAGTACGCCAATATGACCTACCACTCCATTGATGGATGAAGGAATTGGCGGTTGATTATGCGTTCGTTTTGTTTTTCATGAAGTGTAAAGAGAGGAAGAAAAAAGTGAGGGAGCAAATCCGCGGGCAGTCATGGTTGTTCTGATACCCGGAGAAGGAGAATCTGTCCAGCCGGAGCTTGTCCTCTTTGAGCCTGGCGTGGTTATCAAGGCTTGGCACTCAGACGCGGTCTGAAGTTCGCCAACTTTTTCGTCTTCCGTTCAGCAACCTCCCAAGCAATTTCCTCTTCCAAGAATGTCGAAGGCGTATTGAAGCAGCGCAATGAGCCATGTCTGTGCCATCCCCCGGTCTCTCATACCCAGAGTCGCTCCTTTTTCCTTTCAGACTCCGTCATCGTGGTCGGGACCGCGAGCAAACGTCGTTCGATCCACGGACAGGGAAGGACTGCTTCTTGCAGTCAAAATATAGCCGCAGCCTTGCCTGACCGGCGATCAACCACATTCGGAAGCATCTTGATTTCTTCTCTCCCATGATCAAGGCGTGGATCCAGGGGACACTCCAAAGTCCCCAACTATCGCAAGTGGAAGACCAACATCTGGGCTTTTAGCAGGGCCCTGTCTACTCCACCCTGCTTCTTCTGGTCATGGTGAGGAAGCAGGACTATTTTCATGACAGACACTCTGGCATCATGTATATGTTTTGCGACTAATTCACTCTGTTCCTGGTGGCGATACTCGAAACAGGAGATTTCTCTCCGGTATGTGCTTCAACCTCCAAGTTCTTTGGTATGTCATGGCTCGGCCGGGCCGCGAAAAGCAGCACGGAAACCGAAATGCCTCCAACAGCGCTGTACACATCTCATGAACGCTTTTACTTGAGGTTGTGATTTTCACATGCCCGCCACAACCACTCCGAGGAAAGAAGGGCACATGCTCGTGTCCCAATTCTCGACTTCTTTCTTCATGCAGATATTGCCATCTTCAGCAGCATTCGTCCCGGACACAATTCAATCCCTCTAGTCCATTTCACTTCTCACCTTACTCTTTTCTCAATCGTGTCCCTGTCGACTTGCTCTCCTATCTTCCACTTTGGGCGCCTTCTCTCTCCATTTCATTGACCCTGACTTGACCGTTTCCTTGCACTCCCAATTCTCATCTGTCTTCCGCGTTCTCCTCTCTCAAATCTCACCTCATTCTCTTCAACAGTGTCATATCGTTGATTGTTCTTTCGGTCCCATCCGACTCTTTCACAACAGCCGCGTTGGACCGACCTCTCCTCTTTCTCACGTTTCTTATCCATCCCTCCAAGCTTTGATATCTCTGCACTATCAATTGCTTGATTGTCTTTTAATCTTGTTCACATCTGGCTTTTGTCTTTTTTCCTTGCGTTGCCATTCAACTTACTCAGGTACCTTTGAAGCGACATCTCGTGCACAGACGGCAGTGTTCATTCTGATCTACCTCAAGCCTTTTGCACCGCCGCTGGGTCGGCATTCCCTTCGCAACTTATCACTATCAGTGATAGCTATTTATTATTTATTTTTCCCCCAGCGAATTGGATATGTCCCCTAATTCAATGGACCGACGCCTTGATTATGCTGACACATCGAGGTTGGGCCAGGTATGGTCAACACCTCAGAGAGCCCTATTTCTACTGGGACAAGGACGGTCTTGGCCTGCGCTGCTGCATTAGCGAGCCCTTATGGAATTCTCCCCAGGCTTCACTAGAATCAGAGAGAGTCCATGAGACGTTTGCGGGACTGAGTGCTGACAGACCGAGACATCCCTTCAGATTGCTGATCTATAAGAGGGTCTCAGTTTCTGAGAAGGAATGGATGTGGAAATTCTGTGACCATCGTGTGAACATGGGAGCTGTGTCGGCTTGCACTCAAGGGATCTCACGGTATCTCTTTCGAGTCTGGAATGACGAAAACGCTGGCGAAAACACCGACGGGCACTTCAAGAGTGAACATGAAAAGCAAGGTATGTGTGCTGACCTGGAGTTCATGAGCGAAGAAGACATCAAGGAGAGTCTGCTGGGGCGCTTTTAGAGGAAGGCCGCCAGAATCTGAGACTTGCCATTATCGACACCAGGAATCTCGGCGACGGTACACATATGTTCCACACCGGAGCCTTGCTCAAGGCTTATAATGTCGATCAAGACATGATTTACGCCAACATGGGCGAGCCTATGGTGTTGGTATGGAAAGAACTGTGAGCTCCGACGACAGTTATAGGTCTAGATGAATTCTTGCCGAGTGTTTTGGAGAAGGGATACCTTAAGCCTGGGTACTTGAGATTGCAACCATTTCATTACAAGCCGTTGGACTCCGAAATTGCCAATAATCTCAGCGCCAAAGGGAAGAATGCTGCAAATCGCCGGAAAAAGAAACCGTGGAGCCGGCTCCGTAAGACATGGGAGATCAGGCAGAAGACTTTTCCAACCCAGTCCACCTTCGCGGCCGTTCAGGAAATAGCTCTCGAACAGCAAGCTCCTTGGAGGTACCAGAGGAGACGCTTTGCCGGCAGAATGTCCCAAGGGAAGCAACCCGGCCGGAAGACTGAGAATTTTCGGGCCTCAATGGCACCATTCCAGTTGGATGAGTACGTTGAATTTCTGACGAGAGAGGTCAAAGAGATCGAACTTCAGTTGCCATTGCTGATAACTCTGCTCTCGACGCGCACGGCGGAGGTGGAATATGACTCCATTCTCGACAGAATCCAAGAATGGGGGCGCGTAAGTGGCCATCATAATCAAGTAGCAATATCCGTCTCGCTAATCGCAGCCAGGCGACGATCCGATGGTCCGGGCTCATAAACAGTGCATTGTTCGAGACTGTTCGTCCACCGACCTCCCAGAGTTGACAACGTTTGAGAAACTGTTTCGAGACGGCGGTGAAAGGCTGGGGATCCCGGTCGTCAAAAGCCCAGGCCTTCGAAAGTTCTGGGTCTTGACGAGTCGGCACACCGAAATTCCTCGACTTCAGGAGGACGGCGAGAAAATCTTTAGTCGAAGCGCGGGAAAGGCGGTGGGCGAGGCTCAAGGACGAGAAAGCCCGTCGAACAGAAGCCGAAAAGGCCAATACTAATTCACGTGGGAGCCGGAGCCGCGGAAGAGGCGCAAGACCCAAGCGACCTGCCTGTTGTCGGAGGACTTGCAGAAGCTGGCCAACGAATCATGCAGAGGTTTATTTTACAGATAGGGGACTCCCCCAACGGCAACTTTCAGTCCCCAATTCGACCCAGGGGTCTTCTGAGCCCAGCACTAGCGATCTCGATCCTGCGAGCCGCCAAGCCCACGCATCGACATACATTACGCAGCTCCAACGGAGCGATCTCGAGGATTTTCATGGCGAAGAGACCGTGGCAATAACGCACACAACAATTGGCGCCGATATCACCAGCACCGTGGGTGTTGACGAAGAGCGGGGCGAAGATGATGCTTGAGGAAGAGGGACGGGGTTTCGCGAGTGCTGTGACGGGTTTGGGGACTGTTTGTCCCATCGGGCGGCGCTCGGGATTGCTAGTCCATTTGCTGGATTTTTTGAGAAAGACAGACTGACGGTGGTTGATGAGATTTGGATTTTCAGCAGTGCTGAGCGAGGAACAAGGAGTCCTTTGTGCGAGACTGAACTGGGTTTGTCTTCCTCGGATGGTGACCGTGGCGACGACAGGGCTGTGGTATGCACGCAGGTAAATCAGTTGGAGCTATGTCTTTTGGCTTTTTCCGGTTGAGGGTTGCAGGTGACATGGCAACGAGGTGGATGGATGGATGAAGGATCAGTTGTAGGAGCTAGAATCAGAGAGTCTGTCTTTCTTTCACCATCTCCGGCACTGTGGCATGCATGCATGTGTGCCTCTTTCTCTCCGTCTCCCCTCTTACCCCTTGTCCTCTCATCCGGCTTCGGTCCTCTCATGCATGCATCCAGAGGAGAATGAATGGATCGTGCACCCCGGCAAGGTCAATGTCAAGCCCTAAGGTGCCAGAATACGGAGTATGTACTACGAGAAAGTGGAGACCTCCCATGAAGCAAACTGATGACTGGAGGGGGAAGATAGATAGTAGATAGATAGATAGACAGGCAGCGACATGGCCAATTGGGCAGCGGTTGTCGGAAGGACGAGAGGGAAGAAGGAGGGTTGGTTCTCGCGCCATGTAGTATGTACTCCGTAAAGGGGCTTGTGTGCGCATGGGTTCTGCGAGTATCCGAGCTCTCTGAAGTACTCTCCACTCTCTACTCCCTCCCTCTGTCCTTTGGACTACGGAGGAGTCCGAACTCTCCACTAAAAGTACCGGTAATGCAAAGTCTGGCTGTCTGGTCGGCGGCCTGTGAGGGATCCCCATCCGCCCGACTGCTATGTACATGCCCCAAGGATGTACATGGGCCGAAAGCGGTCGTGGGGGGTCCTGTCACGATTGCGATCGCCGATGCGATGTCGAGTGTCTTCTCGAACGACGCGAGCGAGCGGGTTGAGTTGGGATATGGATTTAGTATCCGCTCCTCTTCCTCCTTCCCCCCTCGGCCCCCTGCTCGGTTCGGTTCGGCTCGGTTCCCTTCTATTAACCCAGTTGATGCTTCTCTGTCCATGTGTTTGTCGCCTGCCTGAGGCCGTCAAATGGTAACATGCATGGTAGAAATATATACGATCAGGAAACCTCGTGTGTTGACTGTCAGGCTATGAATTGAGGTGTTCAACTCAGGAAATGGGGTGTGAGGGAGGCAGTGCCTGGTGTAGTCTTCAGGGATGTGCCATCGACTTTTCCCGTGGTTGCCCCCGCTCTAGTTTTTAGCTAACCAGTTTCGTGTGTAGAAAAGAGAAAGTTAGTAGTTCGTATTAATGTGAGGAGATTCTCGGTCAGGGGTAGCTTTTTACTCCCTAGGACATGGCAACCTACCATAACCTGCCACGGACAAGGGGTTCTAGAGTTCTAATACGAGTCGTGCAGCTTGCCCGAAAAGCCGTGTTGTGCTGTGCCGCGCTGTGCCCTTTCGAACCCCCCTCGTTTAAATTTGCAAAAAGGACCCAGGGACTTGGAAGCGAATCATAGTCCCCGTCCCCAAGCGGGGAGGGCGGATCCATGCACTAAGCCCTGGTCGACTGGCAAAAGCAATTTCAATCCTTCAGCAGCAGTATGTAGCAGCAGTAGCAGCAACGACGTGCGACTATCCCGTCTTTTGGTGCCCTGACGTCCTCTACTTATCAGAGATTCGGCCGGAAGGGATCGACACTCGGTATGGCGGTTCCATTGGCGAGTATTTCACCAAAGGCTGATGGCTTCAACATGCAGGCAAGAAGACCACCTCGTATTTCTGTCGTGGGTCCTACCCAGCCCAGCAGGGGACCGATCTTCTTGCTTGTCGGTACTTGGCGCCGTACTTGACGCCCGAGACGAATAGCCTGGCCACAGGCGCCCCGGCAATGAATCGACATGCATATTGCTGCGCCATCATGCATCTCATCTAACGGGTTTCGACAGGTTGCAGCTGCTAGGCAAAGCAAGTTACTCAAAGGCCTGTCCGGGTTCCAAAGAAGGCAGGTCGGTCTCGCTGGGACCTCCTGCCTCAGCTCCTCCATCCCACGGGCATGTGACCTTTTGTATGGCCAGAGGGCAAAGGCTCCTATGTTTCTGTTGCGCTAACCTCCTGTGCACCTATCGACCAAGCTCAAGTATTCTATTCTAGTACCAGGGGCCTGGATCCCGCAACTCTGTGCTGAAATAGCGGAATGCTCGCAGGGCTTCGAGACTGACTGAGCATCCCACCCCCTGATTTTTCTGCTTCGATATGCATTTGGTCGGTGTCCTATCGAGCCAGCACCTTCGCAAATCTCGATCCCCAGGTGTCCTGGTTGAGCACTCCAACCCAGAGCCATGGATATTAAAAAGTGTTCTCCCCTTGGTGGCCTCGAGACGGGTTTCTCTCCCACTTTCGTCTTTCTTGGCTCAGCTTCCAGCCGCCGACCTCGAGCTCCCACTGCCTGCTTTGATACACTTTCGCGTTGAACACAAGGCGTCTCACCTTCATCATGCCGTCCAAGTCAAGCTCTGTCCCTAGAAACCGTGAGTTCGTCTGTATCAATTCAGATTACCGTCAATCTCCCGGATCATGTTGGAGGCTTAGCTTTCCCGTCATATACGGCTGCGGCTGCTAATGTCCTGCCACCCCACAGACATGTTGGCTGGTCTCAAATTCCAGATGCTTTTGTATCTGGCCACGCCGTTTCAGGAAGAGCCGTACAGACCGGGAGCGGGACCTCGCAATAGACACGCAAACCTTATCCGCAGTCTCGATGAGCACCTTACTCAATTTACTAGTGGTCCTGTTATCGCCGTTGCGAGCAGGGAAGATCGTGGACCCTTGCGCTGTGGCTCTCAAAGGTTAGCCTGCCTCCGCTCCGTAAGCCCTGGCATTCACTCGCAACAGTTGACCCAGAAAATTTGGTGTTCGGCTATCCAAGACAAGAGTCAGGGTCCATGGTGGTGATGGTGGTGTCTATGCAGGTCATTCCATCGATGTTCGTATACCCACCAGGCAAACCAGGATATCAGAGAGGAATAAGATGGGCACCTTGGGCAATATATACCCAGTGCGAAGTACCTGTAATGGATATGCATGCCGAGTTTGAGTGGTAACCCCTCGAAAGGGCTTCCCATCGGGGCTGCGATACCATAATAAGATAGTCCGAATACATGATATCATACGCGAATGGTCTCTTCGTTGTAGTGAATGGTGAGTGAGCATGGCACTGTCTCTTTTTAGGGGTGGATTTTCTGATTGGTCAGCTGGAGCATTTTGGCTCGGTGATTGATTGCAGCAGCATTGAAGCATCTCTTGCGCATTGCCGTTTTTCCGTTCTTTTCCTTTCCTTTTCTTCCCAGATAGAGATCCTGTCCCTATGCGTTTGCAAGATTGGGTTTTTTTTCCCCCTTGGAGTAGGTAGTTTATTGTCCCTGGCACTGACGAACACAATCTCGGACTTGTATTCTTTCTATTCTTGTCTTGAGATTTCAAATCTGATGTGTGAACCTCAACCTACCTGCGTAGAACTGCCCAGTGCTAGTCACCCAGGGGCAAGTAGACCAAACAAGTTGTTTCAATATTCCATCCTGGAGTTTTGTGAACATCTTTAAAATTCACGGCCATGCTTCCCCCTGTCGGCAGACCTTTGCTCGTTTAAACTCTCCAGCAACCTGGTGAATAGCATGCTACCTTGTTGAACGGGCAAAGAGAAGGCGGAGGCGTAGCAGAGAACCTCTGCCCCGGAAGAAAATGTGGTCGAGGGAGAGTTGAGAAACTTCAACAACAACCCAAGGCGAAGGGCTCTGTCGTTCTTCGCTATCTTGAGTGCGGATTCATCAGGGCGTGCAGACTCGTCGAGGCATTGAGTCACCGCCGGTAAGGACACACTACTGTGCCATCCTGGCAGACGGAGAAATTAGGTATGCACAGGCAGGCGGCAAACAATCGCCGTCGGAGGATGTTCAAAGAAGAACGAGAAAGGAGATTGTGCCAAGTACGGGTAGCAAGGGGTTGATAGTGAGAAGTGAAAAGTGGTGTGATTTGGAGCGATGTCGGCAACTCAAGCGATATGTTTCAGTGAGAAGCCGTGCACGCCACGTGAATGCACCCTACTCCACGAACAGGATACCAGACCCGGGGCAATGGAAGTGGCAAATTGTGGTGAAATTAGGAGAGGGATTCGATATGGAGTCGTTAGCGCGGTGGGAGTAAGACGCTGTCAGCCTGATGATCGAATATATCTCGGGTGGTCGAGAGAAGGTTTCCAGGCAGAACATGAGGTCGGACAAGGAAGGCTTCTAGAACAGGGCGACGGCATTTCGCGAGCAGTGAGACGGTAGGAAGGGATTCCGCTTGGTTCGTATAAGCTGCGAGCCGAGGCCGACGAGGCGGAGGCGGAACTCAACGGAAGGAGCAGAAACGTGGCGTTGCTTAGTCGGCCGGCGAACAGCAACGGCAAAGGCAGATATCTCGTGATTCGTGACAAATCTGGTGTGACGGCAGGAATACGAATTTGCAGGTGGTTCGCTAGAAAGCTTTGCGGGCTTTAGACGAATCTAGGCGTTGAT